ATAAAAAGAAAAAAAATACAGAAGAAAAGAAAAAAAAAAGAGAAGAGAAAAACGATGTCCTTCAACTTCAACGTCCTAGAAACCCGAGGTGCTAGCGTTCAATAGAAAAATTCTACAGAAAGGTAAAAATCCAGGTACGAAGTAGAACTAAGATCGAAAAGGCTAAGTTGAGATAATGATAGGTTCGGAAATAGGCTTGGTGAGTTGTAGAGATTCTAACGGGTTCTAGGTGACAATAAAAATCCCATGGCGAGTTAGATTAGTCTTTGGTAGAAAGATCATAGTAAACCGGTTTTGGTACGATTCTCGGGAAACTAGGATTGGATGGACGTTTCGCTTTTGAGTTTCATGATGATGCTATTTGATGTTCGTCATTCCCTGTTTTGCAGATTTTATTCCTTCGTTCTTTATTCGAGGACGAGCAAAGGTTTAAGTCTAGGGGGATTTGATAACTCCTATTCTTCTCTATATTTTGATGAGAGTTTGTCTAGGTTTTATAGGATAATCACATGCATTTATAGGCATTCTAGGCTTGTTAGGGTACAAAACCCGGTTGTGCTTTAGTTTTGCAGAGTTATAGGTTTCGAAGATAATTGGACTCGAAAAGGAGTTATTTGGAGCGTTAGAGGAGAAGTCCGGATGAGATACTCATGTTGCGACATCAATAACTTTCTCTACAGAAGTCCAAATCATGCGAGACTAATACCATTGGAAAGAGCACTTCAAGTGCTTCGTGTAGACATCAAAATCGCGTAAATCCGACACCGGAGCAGAAAGTTATGAGCAAATTCGTGAAGAGTCCGAGTCAGATGGGCCCGACTTGACTCGGTCCGAGTCAACACTTTGACTCGGTCGAGTCAAAACCCAGAAAACCCTAATTCGCAATTTTTAGAGTTCTAATGAAAGGAGAACTCTTGGGAGCCGCCCGAGGGTTATAAAATAGACCTAGCCACGTCCTAGAACAGAGGAGAATCTTAGAGAACACTTAGATACAGACTTTTGGAGAGCTTTTGGTGAGAGAAGAATAGAAGTTCACTGGATTTCGGGAAGAAGAAGGAAGATTCGATCGTGGAGACTACACATCTACATGAGTAGATCCACGGCTGTGGGTTAGGGATTCGTTTGTGTTTTGGGTATGTTTGAACCCTAATTGGTTGCGATTTGGATTTGTTTCGGCTTTATCGATTTGTGCTTTATTCGATTGGTGTTTGCTGACCCATTGGCCAATTATTTCAGATTCTGAGCTACATAGGAATATGGGTTTAGTCTCGGATCGAAATCGATAGAATAGATCGTATTATTCACATAGGAATATGGTTTGATCGATCTAGGGTTGATGATAGCGTCCTTCATGCATCTAGTTTGATAAATCACATAGGGATATGGATTTAGAAAACTTTAGATAGTGAGTTATATGCCGGGAGGTGATTTCTCTATCTTTGTTGCTTGATGATTCCCGAATACAAATTCAATATCGTGATTCTCGCATGCTTAGCATATACCCATACACGCGAATACGGTCCCGACACCCACGATCATCTTAGATTGCTAGCTTACACGTTTTTATTGCTTTATTTCCTTATTTTCTATTCTTTCCATATACTTCCACCATCACTTCTACTTCCTTGCTTTGATTTAGTCTCAATTGGGATTTAGACTTAGCTACCGGTCCTTACGTTCGACCCCGTGTTACAATGATCCGTATCCTTGCGGTGAGTTGTGAATCGGGTTAT